GTGCACACTGAACTCCAAGCATCACCTTTTAAAAAATGTTCTGAGGCTACTCCCCATCAGAGAAATTCCCACCAGCTCTTCACACAGCCTCTGCTCTCTTTGGCTGGTTTTTCTCTCTACGCAGTCCCCCTCCTCTGACTTCTTTTCATGTCTCTCTCTCAGTTTTCCTCTACTAAGAGCAAAACAAAACCCCTCTTACAGTCCTGTGCAGCACAGTTTAGCAATCGCCCATCTAGTCGGTCCTCTTTCTATCCTCTATCCATCTTATATTCTGCATACATTTCAAAGCAAATTGAATACATTGGAACACTTCCCCTAAACACATCATTTCTATCATTAACCAGAGGTGAAGTTTTGTTTACATTTTTTCCTTTGGAGGTAATATTAGTATATTGGGAAATGTACAAATTTTAAGTGTACATTTGGTGAGTTTTGGCAAATGCATACAACTGTGCAACCCAAACCCCCATCAAAATATACATTACTGTTATCCCAGGAAATTCCCTCATGTCCCCCCAGGGACAAAGGGACAACCACAGTTTCTAGCTGCTTTTTACACCACTGTTTTATAAGTCAGTTCCCTGGTCCTTACCTGTACCTCTATCATTGCTGCTGAATAAGCCCACCCAAAGATTTTCCTTTTTTTTTGAGAGAGTCTTACTCTGTCAACTGGGCTAGAGTGCAGCGCAGTCATCATAGCTTACTGTGACCTAGAACTCCTAGGTTCCAGGGATCTTCCCGCCGCAGCCTCCTGAGTAGCTAGGACTACAAGTATGCATCATCATGCCAACCTAATTTTTAAATTTTTTTGTAGAGACAGGGTTCTCTCTATATTGCTCAGGCTGGTCTTTAACTCCTGGCCTCAAGCGATCTTCCTGCCTTGGCCTCCAAAAGTGCTGGGATTACAGACATGAACCCCATCCTGTGATTTTTTAAAAAAATAATAATGTCACAGTTCAGTCCACGGCTGGACTTCGAAGTGTTGCCCCAGTTCTTGGGCTCTTGGTGTGGAGGGACTGCAAGCCTTGGCCCGAGCAATGGAGAGAGATGACGGACATTCGGCAACTATGCATGAAGAATTTATTGTGAGTAAAGTTTAAAGGTGCAAAGCGAAAGTACATTTCCTAAGGGTGAATGGGTCTGTCTCGGCAGGTGGAGAAGATGCTAGCTACCTCTGTTTCTCTTTTTATATGCGTTATGTTTAGGTAAAGGTTAGTTATAATTAGGACTGAATTCCTTTCTATGCTTGGACATGACTTAAAGGTTATGTTGTATGTACTGTGGGGAAAGTTCCATTTCCATTCTCTGACTGGTAGTCAGTGTTCCACAGCCTAATTACCCCATTTTTTTTCAATTTGAAAGCAATCACTCTTTATTAACTGACCAGATCACAAAAATAATCATGGTAGATACCTTAGTTCATTCTTCTAATACACCTGTTGATCTGGTCTTCCCCGTGGCCAGCATCTCCACCTTCTACAAAATGGGTTGCCTTTTTCTTCATTCCACCCCATGGAGATGATAACTTGAAGGGCCACAGGAAGTTATTTGCTTCTTTGAAGTGTTTTCCAAGAGTACAGATCTCATGAATCAGATCCTCCATGCAGATGATGCCATATTTACTGAGATCGAGCAATCAAAGCGTTATCTGTCAACACAATTTGCCATAACCACCCTTGTAGATTAGTTCATTTACTGACTTCAGGTTTGGGTGCCCACATGCAATATGTGGTAACTGAAGCCTTGTTGAGCTTAACAAAAGTTCCTTGGAGGATTTGGAGAAGGCAAAGAAGTTGCAACACCTTTCAGACCTTTGGGCTCACACAGATGATACCTCTGATCCTGATGACAAATGCAAATTTGGGTTCTGCAGGTACACAGAAGTTGCCAGCTTTTCTTGCCATCCTAGCCATTGGAATCTCAGTTCTGTACATCTGCCTGTATTCCTTGTGATAATGCTTAGCTTTTTCTTTGATAAGCTTTCTCCTGGCCTTTTGCAGCATCTTTTGGGCAAACTTCTTTCTCAGGTGTTTGATCTTCAGCTCTGCGAAATTCCTTCGCTTTTTCTTAAGGGTTTCTGCCATGACAGGAACCTTCTTTTTCTTCTCTTCGATACTCTCCATGGTTCCAGTCGGAAAAAAGGACCCCATTCTTTTTTTATTTTTTTGAGACAGAGTCTCACTGTGTTGCCTGGGCTAGAGTGCCATGGCATCAGCCTAGCTCACAGCAACCTCAAACTCCTGGGCTCAAGCGATCCTCCTAGCCTCCCGAGTAGCTGGGACTACAGGCATGTGCCACCATGCCCGGCTATTTTTTTCTATATATTTTTAGTTGTCCAGCTAATTTCTTTCTATTTTTAGTAGAGACAGGGTCTCGCTCTTGCTCAGGCTGGTCTCGAACTCCTGACCTTGAGCGATCCACCCACCTCGGCCTCCCAGAGTGCTAGGATTACAGGCGTAGCCCTCAGCTTTCTATACCTCTATTAAGTTTGGTTTCTTTTTCATAGCTGAAGTTTTTTTCCTGATTCTTACAATATATTGGGGTGGGTAAATTACCAAATATATAAAACAAATCATCTCCAGCCTAGCATGGCCATCTCTACCAGGCTTGGAATTTACCTGGACATTAGGCATTCATTCTTCAGGAAAATGAACTCGACCTTCTATTTCAGGAGCTGTCATCGACTGGCCCACAGATGAGGGCAAGGAAGTATGGGGTTACGTGACCGTGCGTGAGGATGCCCACATGTTCTGGTGGCTCTATTATGCCACCAACCCCTGCAAGAACTTCTCAGAACTGCCTCTGGTCATGTGGCTTCAGGTAAGGTAGCTTCCCTGCCTGGCCTGAGGTTGAGGCCCGGTCTTCCTCACTGTGCTCTTTGCTTGCTCTTGAGGGCTGGTAGCTCAGCCGTGAGGGACTGATTCGGTCCAGCAGGCAAGCCTGGGGGTTGGACATCCTTCTGAGACAGGCTGTGGCAATAGTATAGCCAAGGAGGCAAAATCAGATGATCAGGGACTTCTGGCCTTTTGCTGGGATTTGTTTAGATGGAGTCCAGACAACTGTGGGAGCCCTCACTGAAAACTTCAGTTACTATATTTGACTACCTACTAATAAAAAGTGTTTTGAAGATTCCAAAGCAAAGACTGAGGTACCCTGACCCTCTCCCTCCCCATACTCCTTTCCTGGACTCTAACTTCTTACTCCCAGAAAATCTGATCTTTTGACTATACCTAGCCTTCTGCATTTTAGTGTGAATGTGAGGCCCTCCCCTTCCTCCTCCGTGTGCTTGCATTTTAACCCTGAGCTCTGGTGGCAGGATAGAAGGCAGGGAGCTGGTTGAGAGGTATTAAGGGGCAGGCATTCCTGAAGTAATCCGTTCAGGAGTGGCCCACATGCACCCAGAAGACCAGTGTCTAGGGATGAGTAAGGAACATGGTCTTGCTTCAGCCTCTGGGAAATGTGTGCCTGGCCCAGGCTGCTCACCAGGAAATAGGGGTCCTGGCACTCACTTTCGTAGGGCGTGAGTGAGACTTCCTCCAAAATGCCAGTCTTTCTAAGCAGCCTCCCGGTGCCCAGGCTTTGCCTCCCCAGCCAGTCAATGCAGATTCTCTGGGGACAGGGTGGGGAGGAACAGCTTTCAGGGAAGGACCTTTCTCTCTTGGGATTATCACATGTGCCACTTCTGGGGGCTGGAGGTGGGGCTCAGCCCCCAGGGTGCAGCTACGGAAAATGTCCCAGAGGAAGAGCCCACGTGCATCAGCCTGGGGAGCTCCGGCTCTGTCGCCTCGAGCTGCTGGAGATGAAGGTGCAGCATGTCGGCAGCAAGAGCCGGGCAGGGACAAGCCCAGGCCTGCTGGTCAGGAGCCCTGGGTTTTCAACGCCCTCCTGCCACATATAGCCATGACGAGACACTTCCTTCCCTGGGCCTGGGTTTTCTAATCTGGGGATTTCGATAGTTTTCAAACTTTTTATTAATCAGCAGAACTTTTTTCATCCCCCAGTGAGAGTTTACATGTGGGAGGCAAAGCAGATGAAAGCAGAAGTGCTGAGGCCGGGGGTGCCGGCGGGGCCCAAGTTCCACCCATTTAGTCTCCCCTTTGTCCAGGCTGCCCCAGGGACACTTTCTAGATTGTCAGGAAAACAATTTGAAAAACACTGAATTTCAGAAGTTGCAAGCTATCCTTCTGGTTGACTGCAGAGTGGAATTGTTATTTTAATTGAATTAGTTGCCAACATTCTAAAATCAGGACATCTTCTTCCTCTTTCTAAAAATTAGGCTTTGGAACCTAAACTCACTGTCCCCACAGCTGGGTGGTGGCGGCCCCTTTCAGACAGGGCCAAAGGGGCCAGGAGCTCCTGGGGGAGAGGGCTCCTCTTTTCCCTGCCTGACCCCTAGAAGCTGTCCCCTTGGTGACCTTCGGTTAGGTTAACCTTTTGAGCTGAGATACCATTTGAAGATTATCAGCTGAAAATGCTAAATTGCTTTTTTC